GAATAAAGAAACAGGTAGGGCACGACTTCTGAGAGAACAAGTGCAGGAACAGGGCATCCATTTCCTGGGACTTCAAGAGTCCAGATCTGCCGTCGGTGCTGTTCGTTCACACACTCATATGCGTCTATGCAGTGGAGCAGAGACTAATGGCACTCTGGGAGTAGAACTTTGGATATCCACCAAAGTCCCAGTGCAGGGAAATAAGTGTCTAGATGTCCGTGATTTTACTGTGCTTCATGCAGACCCACGCTGTTTGTTGGCACACTACGATGGAGAGTTTGGTGCCTTCCTCATCCTTGTAGCGCATGCACCTCACACGGGGCATCCAACGCAAGACCGAGTGGAGTGGTGGAGCAAGCTCAATGCACTTGTTCAGAGACATCGCCAGTCGAAGCATATTATTTCGCTGATTGATGCCAATGCGACTTGGGCAGGACCTCCCAATGCACAGATGGGTGATCTATGTGAGGCCACGTCGAATAGCAATACGGCTATGTTTGTGGAATTTGTTGAGCAGTTCGACTTATTTGCCCCGTCCACCTTTGCTGATTGTCAGTATGGTCCTTGGTTTACCTGGACGCATGCCCGCACGGGTAGGGAGCATCGAATTGACTATGTCCTGCTCCCGAGTGCATGGGCAAGGTCATGGATCCAGGCATGGACGGACCCTTCCGTAACTGTTGGCCATGCTGGCATTGATCATGTAGCTACAATAGCAGTAGTGCACTGGGAACAGGGGTGTGTTAGAGCGAGTAAGAAGGTCCGATATGATAGGAATGCCATATTGCATCCCAACAATCGAGCCAAGCTCTTTGACATCCTAGATCAATGTCCGAGGCCAGCATGGGAAGTCAATGCGAGCGACCATGCTATCATTGTTAGTCAATACCTGCAGGAAGCCATTGCAGAGACTTTCCCAGCACCTAAAGCCAAGACACCTAAGTATACGAAAGACGAAACTAGGAACATCTACCAGGAGCTGGTGTCTGTCAAGCGAGCCAGTACACAGTTTCGGATGGTCGAGCGCTTTCGCACGTTAGCTTTGGCATTTCGTGCTTGGGCGGGAAAGCCGTTGAACGGTGAAAGCCGTGATTGGCTTCATCGGTTCAATTGCAGGTTTGCACAAATTGTTCATTCCGTGCAGAGCCTGACCAGTCAACTGCGCATTCGATTAAGAAAGGACCGCACAGATTTCCTTGAAGCTCTCGCTAAAGAGGTCAATGAGTGTCCTCCTGGAGAGATCTTTAAGAAATTACGCCCAATCCTAAAACAAGAAACAAGCACAAGCGGTTCAACCCCTTCCTAAGCTTGTTGACCTTGACGGGAACATGATCCTGAGTCGCTCGGAACAGGAGAACCGTTGGACGGAGCATTTTGCATCGATCGAAGCGGGACATGTAGTCAATGTTTCGCAGTTTGTTGAACACCAACTGCAAAGACAACAAGACCGGTGCAAACCATCCAGTTTTTTGATTGAAGATATCCCAACACTCAACATGATTGAGGGAGCCATTCGGTCCGCGCACCGTGATAAAGCAGCTGGGCCCGATGGCCTCCCAGCGGAAATCTTCAAAGCAATTCCAGGGAAAGCTTCCAAGCTTTTGTATCCACTTGCCCTGAAGCTTGCACTTCGAATTGAGGAGCCCATATCCTGGAAAGGGGGATACCTTTTCTCTCTGTACAAGGGTAAAGGTGCCATGAGTGAATGTGCCAATCACCGAGGCATTCTCCTGATGGATGTTATGGGCAAACTCACACGCGCTGGATTGCGCAAATGGATCAACGATCCATATCTCCGCCAGGGACATCCGATGCAACTAGGCGGCAAACCCCACCAACAAGCACAATTTGGAGCACAACTGACTCGATCCTTTCTGCGTTGGAGGAAAGCATGCAATCGTAGCGCAGCGGTGCTCTTTGTCGACATTGCATCGGCCTTCTACAAAGCCCTTCGAGAAGTAGCAACAGGAGCTGATGTTTCCGACCAAGACATTGCAAAGGTTGCCTGCCGATTGGGAATAGGTCCAGAGGTTATGCCTGCGCTCCATGACGCCTTACAAGGCCGATCTGCATACGCTTCGCTTACCAAATCTATCCCTCGGCAACAAGCGTTACAAGAAAGTTTGAGTGGTACCTGGTTCACTGTGGATGGAAGCACAGTAGTCGCAACCGAGCAGGGGACGAGACCGGGAGATAGTTGGGCAGATGTTGTGTTTAATGTTCTGCTATCGCAAGTTCTTCTCAAAGTGCAACAGACACTGGAACATGAGTCTCTTGCGACGGTTGTGCCAGGGTTCGACAGATGCGTTTGTCCGCAACAGACACCAAATAAACAGGTCTCCTTGCTGCAGGTTACATGGGCAGACGACATCGCGCTAATGTTGAGCCTAAAATCTCCAGCCTCAGTCTGGAAAGACTTACCAAGAGTCACACAGGTCCTGGTTGATGAATTGCAGGCAATCGGGATGGAGATTTCTTGTGGACCGGCCAAGACAGCAGCCCTGGTCCTTTTGCGAGGGACAGGGTCAGTTCCGGTCAGACGCAAGATCTTCTGTAAACCCCAAGCCGAGTTGCCTATACTCACCGATAAACAGGGCCTGACGCTGCCATTGGTACCTCACTACAAGCACCTGGGCGGGATTCTGTCCTTCAAAGGCAACCTTGACCAGGAAATTGCTACAAGATATGCCAAAGCCAGACAGGCGTATTGGAGGGCAGCCCGCACAGTCTTTCGACCGACATACATTTCCCTCCATATCAAAACCCAACTGTTTAAAGCCATTGTCATGTCAGTTTTCTCGTGGGGTATAGGAGCTTGGCCAGCACTGTCCATAGCTGATAATAGGAAGTACACGGTTTCTTATTGGAACTTGTGGAGACTGTGCTTTAAAAAGCAGCAGAAGCAGGCATCCAGAGGGGAGATTTGTCGCCATTTTGGTTGTCCCGAACCAGCGGATGCCTTGCAAGCAGCTCGAGCCAGGCACTACCTTACGATGCTAGCACATGCACCAGACCCTGTTTGGTCTGTAGTCCATCTCGATGCCGATACAGCTGCAGTTTACCGTACTGCTATCGATTGGGTTCACGAAGCCTTGCAGCGTGAACAAGAGTTTGCTGACCGAACCGTGCAGGAAGCATGCCGTCATTTTTGCGATGCAAAAGGTCCCAGTTGGAAAGCTATGGTAAAAAGAGCCTCTGAGAGATGGCGCCTTTTTCGACTTCGGGAGCACAAGGTAGCAGAGATGCATCGAAGGGTTCTGCAGGTCTTGCGCAATTCATGTTCTGGACCTCAGGACCAGCCCTCACAGGGCTGGCAGCATTACTGCCTCTTGCGTAACAAAGGCTTTTCTAAGAAAAATGCTTGGTTTTTACATGCAAGTGTCATGCATGCCTACCGAACTATGGAAGGAGAAGCTGTAACTGGGACGACGTGTTGGTGCTGCGCTAAGCAATACCCTTCCACTTTGTCACTCAAGCACCACCTCCGGTATAGTCAGGCGTGCTGCACATATTTTTGGAAGAACCGAGCAACCCTCTCCAAGGAGGGAAACAGCCAGCAGCAGCGTCATCCGCAATTGCCTTGGTCGCGAACAAGCGATCAGGAAGTCCACGCTGTTGAGTTGATCCAGAGAGATAGAATGACTTTTCGTGCCGATCTTAACCAAGTTCTGCAGGATTTTGTGCCTCCAGAGCAAGAGGAACATCCTTCGACTGGTCTAGCAGACGCTTTTATGGCGGCTGCGATTCGACCTATGCCGATTCAAGATATCCTAGCTGTTCTCGAAGAGATGGCTGTGGAATTTGACCAACCATCCCAAAGTGATATTCAGATGGCCTGTCAGCAGGTCATTTCTAGGTTGAAGAGCTTCCTCTCTCAAAGAGAGCAAGCTGGAGAAGTAGTGGAGACACCAGTTGACGAGGCTACTAGACAGCAAATTTCGATTGCACCTGTAGAAGCCAATCCCAGCCATGTGTTTCACGAGGTGTATATCCTGCATTTGTTCAGTGGACGCCGGCGTGTCGGCGATCTCCAAGAGGCACTCGAAGGTTTAAGTGTGCCTGCAGGTGCAGTGATGTTCGTCATTTCGCTCGATATAATGGTCTCTACGAAGCATGGTGACCTCACCAATCTCAGTCAGCAAGAGGACATACTGCGTGTGATCCGAGCAGGCATGATTGCAGCGGCCTTTGCAGGTCCGCCCTGCGAAACGTGGTCTATTGCCCGTTCCCAGACCGTTGTTGGAGCACGCAAGCTACCACGACCGTTACGAACATGCAAGTTACCATGGGGACGGGTTGACATCAGCTTCCGCGAAGGCCAACAGGTTGATGTTGGTAATGAACTTATGGGATTTGCTGTTCTAGTGATGCTTGAGGTTGCCATCAGCGGAGGGTTTGCGGTCCTTGAACATCCGCAGGACCCATGGGAGCTGAGGCACACTCATGCAGAAGCCCCGAGGGACGGCGCTGATGAGCTGGTTAAGGCAGACGGGACTTTTCCAGGATCTGAGAGTGCTGCAAGGATACTATGGGGCCAAAAGTGCCAAACCCACAACTTTACTAATTGCTGGCCTGCCTGCTAATACAATATTAGAGGTTGAACGGTCTAGCAGAACTACGAGTTGTCCTAAGACATCTTCGATCGGATTATGTGACAGGGGCTGGGCTACGAGTTCCCTGAAAGAGTATCCTAAGGATTTTTGCTCTTTTTTGGCGAAAATGTTCGATCGATGGTTACAAGGGGCAACTTTTAAGTCGGGAACGCCAACGCATGATGCTACATGGCTTAAAGCTATGTACCTTGCGGAGGTGGATGAACACACAGAAGAGGGACCCGACTTTTACCCGTTCTTAATTCAGAATTCAACTTGGCAAGGCGCTGAGTCTTCTGACCCCGTGCGCAAATAGAAAGAAAGAAAAAACTTACATGTCATACTTTTGGTGGTTCTTTGACACGAGTTTTTAGAGTTTTCGAGGCTTGATGCCCTGGCAAATCTAAGGCATGCCGACTATAACGAAACTTCTGCGCCCAAGAAATTGCAAAATTTGGCAGCTGTGATTTGTTTTGGGCATATTTTGGCTGGTTCAGTTATAGCATTTGACGATATGTACATATCTGATGTGAAAGTTGGTGCCAAATCATTCATTATATAATATTGCCAAAATTATATAATCCAAATAGATCCAAAATACTGCTCAAATACTGTATAGGGCTTCAACATGCTTGTCGATAACTCATTGTCATCCCCAGTTTTGCCAACTCGACCTTCAGCGAGGCAGAGAAGCCTGGATACACTGGTGTGCAATTGCCAGCAAAAGAAGTTGAGAAGGTCTCTTGTTGCAAATGATTTCTTTGCCTTTAGGGATCTTTTAAGGTAGCCTTGACAAACTTGATGCTGCGTGTTTGAAGCCTAAGAGTAAACATTTTTTGGAGCATAGTCACTCTCCTTCGTCGAAGTTTGGAAGCAAGATGCTTGGAGTGTAGTGCAAGAATTTCCAGCCAATGAATTCAATGTATGTTTTACAATTCTTTACATGACATGTTTCAAGCTGATTTAGCCTTTGGAATTGGTTCTTTCAACGGCAAGAGCTTCAGTTGTGGGTTCCAAAGATGACCCATTCTTTACTATGGGGAGATATTGTCCTCCGGACAAAGATTCGCCTTCATCAACGTGTGAGGGAACATATCCTGCCTTCAACTATCCTTTGTCTCTACTGGACCCGCGGATTGTGGATGAAAGAGATTGGGTCACCTATGAGATGGTCTACCCAGATCGCCTGGGTAGTAGACTGTTTTTGTCCAATCGAAGTGCCTCATCTCACAAGTGGTACTAGTATCCAGAGATGCAGAAAAATGAATGCTTGATCTTTAGCTGCTTCTTGGCCGGAAAGGAGCGGGGAGCCGTTTTACGTTTTAACTCTGGTATTCTTCAAGTCATTCTTCTATTTAGAAAAATATAGTATATTTTGGTGCCTTTTTTTCTTCCATTATTAAATCGAATCAAAATATTAAAATAAAATAACATATATTAAAATGTATTGGGATAATTTTCCCGTAAACTTATATGGGGAAAACAATATTAAACCTTCTAAATAAAGGGAATAAGAAATAAATATATATATATTCTAATAATTCGGAACTTCTCGCGTTTAGAATACTTTGGGTCTTTTATTGCTACCAAGAAGCTATTTGAAATTGCTAAAAACCATTAAAATATTATGTCTTCTATATTTTTATATATAATATTGCGACATTTTTTTTATTTTTTACTATATTATATTATATTAAAATGGTTTTTTGGACTAAAGAATCCGTTTATGTTTAATATTCTTTTAGTTAATTTGATTTGAATATGTTTATATAATAAATCGGGTATGAAGCTAAAACTAAAACTAATCGGATATTAAGATTTTTTTTATTTATATATATATAATATTTAATAAATAATGTATTATTATAATATGTGTTATAATGGAATAAAAGGAAAATTTATGATTGGATGAAATTAATTATAAAAAAATAGAAATGAAATAGAAAATAATATAAATTAACAAAATAAGATAAATTTAATATGTAGAAAAAAAATGTTCGTTAAATAGGTTTATTTGTAAGGGGTTTTTATTCTTTTGAAAGGGGTATATAATCGGATCGTATAATTTTATATTTGTGTCCGGGCTTATTTTTTCGCATGATTTTGTAATTGTTTTTTTATACATTTTGGGTTTTTTGGTCGTACGATTTTATATTTGTTTTCGTTTGTTTTTCATTTTATTATGGGTTTTTTGGCCGTATAATTTTATATTTGTTTCTCGTTTATTTCCCATTTCTTTCGCGCTATATTTTGTGGTCGCATGATTTTATATTTGTTTCTTATTTTTTCCGCTTGTTTTTTACTTTATTTTGGATATTTTGGTCGCGTTTTTTTGATCCCTTTTGGTTAGTTTGTTTTTTTATTTTGTTTGTGTTTTATTTCCTATTTTTCGACGATATTTTTTACCTTTTATGATGATTTGGGTATATCGCCTATACGGCGTCCGTACTCGTGCAAAAAAAAATAATGGTATACCCAAAGACCTTGAGATTAGTTACGGAGGCAAGATACGTAATAACGTGATCTTTAAGGTCGTTAAGTCGGTTAAACTTGGTAACGCAAGGAGACACCTTTACAATTACTCCTGAAAGGGTTGTTAGCACCAGATTGCATTCTTGGACTGGCTTACTCCCGCGGGAGGAGCTGTTATTTGAGATGCCATTGGGGTCCGTGGGTGGTTGTTGAAAATTACTTGAGCCAGTAGTTGCACATTCCGTATCACTATATTGCTTGAGGGTATTTCTCTTAGCTCTGAGACGCTAATCTGGACAGATGCTAAGGCACCCTTCTTCGCGACGGTTTGATTACAACACCTTGGTGGCTTGCCTGGGAGGGGATATCCTGTTTCCTCTTTGCTGGCGTTAAATTCCTCGAGCTAGATGCATAGACGAGGAAAAGACCATTGATTATCGTACCTGGGCCTGCTTGTGCCTACGGGGAATAATCTGTCCAGGACAGATGCTAAGGCATCCATCTTGGTTTCCTTGCGAAGTGTAGTGGGTCTAGGGAATTCTGTATGGAACTCTACCTTTACCCAAGGTGCTTTTTCAAACCTGTCCCACCTGAGGACTGGAGGAGTAACCGGGGACGGTGCCTTAGGCATTTTTGTAGACTTGGCGCTTGCCTGGCCATCCCTTTCTATTGAAAGGGTTTGGTAGCGATACACCGTATGCATGGGCTCTCTGCTCCGCCAGTTGAGTGATGTTGTGTCCATTGGGCCAGCAGATTGCTCTTCCGTCGCTTGAAGATCGATTTCTGTGGTGGCAGTAGCCGTCAGCGTTGGCGCGTGGGTACCTAGGCTAGCAACAGGCGCCGTAGGCATTTGTGAGCTGGTAGCCGTTATGGGTGCTCTTTCTGCGGCAATGCTGAGCAAACCACTGGCAGGCACCGAGGTTGCATGCAAACGGGACTGGATTGCATCAGCCAGCCCTTGTTCTGTGGCCTCCCAACTCTGAACTCTGGTCGGTTTAGCTGCCTTGGATTTGACGGCTAGGGGGGCCTTGTAATCTTGGCCGCGAGGCTGCTGGGGGGCCCATCGTCGAGTACCACATGTCGCTTTCCTGAGTGGGTTGTGGTGGAAGTTGTTGTCGATTCAACCTGCACGAATACGTATGTGCTTGCCATACTTGTCGCGCATTGGGAATAGCGAATCTTCCCACAGTCCAAGAAAACACGAGTGTAGCTGAAGAATAAGGGACCCAGAAATGCGTTTCGTACATGGAACCCAGGAGTACAACCGTTTCAACCGGTGCTTGCAGCGGGGGAATTTGGCTGAAAGCGAGGCCTTGCATTTGATGAAACGCTCTTTGTTCTTCTGTGGGGAGGATGCCTATGGCCTTTTGAAACAGAGTCCGGAGGTCTTCAGAGGGAGTTTCGTGCTCTAACGGAATGTCTAGCTGCTTGACCACTTCTTGCCACGGCACAAAAAGGGGCGGCATGGTCAGTTGTGGGTTCCTAGGACACTGGCTATTTGTTAGCGAGCGGGTAAGAAAGTCTTCGTTTGACTCCGACAAAGTATGGGTTGATTCAAGGTCAGAATCTTCTTCTTGGCCAGTATCCTGGAACAGCTTCGTTGAGGGAACGGCAATAGCATGCCACTGAAACACAACACACAAGTTGTGCACTCGCAGGGCGTTTGATCAAAGTCCCAATGCTGTAGGGTGTTGGCAGACACAGAGTCCACTGCGGAAAAGGCGGGTGCAGCCAACTTTGGTAAGCTTAGCTCGGCGACTTGTGGCTCAAAATTGGGCATGAGAGGGCGGTTCAAAGGAAAATCACTGCACCTGCAATCGGAATTTCCAAAATGCCGAGTGTAATGGAGCAGCGTGGTTGCCATCATGCAGTCACAGCTCCAGGTGGCCAAGGCAAGGTGAAGGTCACGGCGCTTTCGCCCCCAAGGAAACAACACCGCGAGTGTCCCTCTCGCCCAACCTCCAAAACAGCTGAGCAACGGGAGGAGGGCTAGAGACAGAACTTCACTTTAGCCGATACATGCAAGGCCCCATGAACTACTCGAAAATAGGTGAGACAAGGTGAAACGCCGTTTTCCTAACTTTGTATACTGTACCCTTCCAGAACCACTACACGGGTAGCAGCCTGGGCACTGTCTATCTACTCAGGTTAGCGAAAGCGAAGGGCAAGGTAAATTGAACTCGCACTCTCGGGACCAACACACGGGTGCTAGTCAGAGAGGCTGGCCTGAAGGTGTTGGACAATATCTGCTTGCTGAATCTGCCTTAAGCTGCCATGATTTGCATGTCGAGTATTGGGCAAAGTAGTGCCGGGTGGATGCCATTTTCGACGGCCGTGTATGGCAGGATTTTTTTCGTTGGTCCTTTGGTTGTCGTGATCCTGGTCACTGGCACTCTCCCTAAAGGCATACCACGAGTTTTCTTGGATAGATTGCTTGCTTATTAGGGTATGTTAAAGAGGCCTCTGACATGAGCAGGGCCAGCACGCGGGTGCCAGCTAAAGGCTCGGCTGCATGTATCTTTTGAAGTTTTTGAAGTTTATCACTAATTTTGGGCTGCACAGGAGTCATCTGCCCATTTGTCCTCATCTTTTCGATTAAGTGGCAGCCAGCGAACCCACTTTGGTCCGTATCCTTTTGGCTCAAGTTTTCGGTTCAAACCTATCTAATAGATAGGCAGGAGGATCAAGGACCTCTCTTAAAGAGAAGAGACTTCCTCAGTAGTTAGCTTGAACCCCTGTGCTTGCTCCTTTGCTTGCGGTCCCTTGCTTGACTTAGGTCCTTCCCTATCTGTTTTCTCCCTTACGATATCCCGTGATATCGTTTGGGTTCTTTGGCCTATTCGGTCCTTTTTTCCTTACGGTATCCCGTGATATCGTCTGGATTCTTTGGTTGGTCTCCTTCTTTGGTTGATTAGTAGCCTGCGCTATTGATTTGGGTTCGTCCTTGTCTTGTCTCGATGTTAGATAAAGACCTGTTGTTTCATTGCGCAAGCCATCTATGAAGATTTAGTTTCATCCTTTTGTGATCAAGGATTATTCAGAAGCCATTTTGGTCCTCGCATCAATCAGTCTCACCAGATTTTTTTTTATTTGCCGTTTCCCTAGTGAATTTCGTATTCTCCGGAACCACAAGGACCTCTTTGTCATTAGTGAGGATGACTTCGAACCTATCCATACAGCTTTGGCAGGCACTCGAAACATCTCAATTGTCCTGTTTCAGGTCCAAGCACACATACAAGAGAAAATCATACAATTTTACCAAGGTGCCAAGAAATTATCCTTTGTGTGTCTTTTCCATGAATGTTTTGTCAATGCCGTTTGTCTTGATCTTGTCACCGCGATCGGCACTGCGTTACGAAGACATCTTGCCCGAATCCATAGCGTTTCGAAGTATTAAGAATTCACTTATACGCCAATAGGTCACACAAAGAAAATCACTAAGAACATCTATTTTGCACTGTTACACTCCACTTGATCGTGATATTATCTTTATCTTGCCAGAGCATGAGTGCATTGTGCACTGCCAAATTGAACGGGGTCAGAGATTACAAGTCCTATAACCTAGGTTTGAAAGAGGCAAAGTCTCAAGATGTGTTAGCAATATACTTGAACTTAGTGTCTATTATTTTCGCTATAATTTGCTGCTTTTCTTGCCAGGACAAATTGAGATCCACGATATCTTTGATAGTGCTCCGATTGGTCGTATTCTGTCCGTTTGGCACAATGAACGGCGGTCTTCCAAGAGTCACACTGCTATACCTACTGCTGTTAGAACTACCACTCAAGCAACGAGTACGCTCCCGACAGCTGGACAGAGTGCTAAAAAAGATAGTTG